TGTAATTTCCAGAATTGGGATAACACAGATGTACTAAGATGCCTGCTTTATTAAATTGGAACTTTAAGGATCGTTTTGCCTTGGACTCTGATTTAATTCTACATGATACTTGGAACGCTGACATTATCCCAATTCTACATGATACTTGGAACGCTGACACCCTACACATTTCACTGAGGGACAGAATTCTTCCCATTTACTGGCAACCCTCGACTTATGACCACCCGTTTAGCGAAGCGTTATAAGTTACGACGGTGCTGAAAAAAGTGACTTGTAACTGGTCCTTAAAACCGTCACAGGCACGATCAAAATCTGGGCACTTGGCAACTGGCAAGTATTTATGTTGGTTGCAGCATCTCGGAGTGACATGATCATCATATGTGACCTGATAAGCCAGGTCAATGGGGGGGGGGGGGAGCTGGATTCACTTAACAACTCCAGATTCACTTAACAGCGGTAACAAAAAAGGGTGTAAAATTGAGCACGGTTCACTTAATGTCTGCATCGCTTTTTGGTTTTTAAGAAGAGACTGGACAGCTTCTCGTCGGGGGTGTTAAAGAGTCTCCTGCTTGAGCAGTGGGCTGGACTAGAAGACCTCCAAAGGTCCCTTCCAGCTCTATTCTGATTGACTGTTGGCTCATTTTTAAATGACCGTCCACTAGGATCCCAATTAACTTCCTTCCTTTGAGAGAGGCCGTCAGCCCGAATTCTTCCATCTCGTAAAAAAGGCCACGCAAGGCTCCCGAAAGACCTTGGTGTGTCTGCGTGCATGCGTGTGAGGGGCGGGCAGGGGTGTGTGTGTGTCACATTTGCCATTCTTGTGAGTCACGGCGCTCCCTACCTCTCACGTATAGGTTGGCGGGCGAAGAATAGCGCACTCCGGCACTGTTGCTGGCGACGCATTCATATTTACCCTGATCCGTCTCTTCGCTGCTCTCGATCTGAAGCCCACCTGAAGCCGGGAAGAGAGAAGAAGACAAAAAGGAAAGAGGAGATGCCGAGAAATACGTTAATTGTCGACCGAGGGCAGATTGGGCACAAAAGGGAGAAACGGCTCTAAGGGGCCGAACGCACCAATTATTACCGATAGCATATCCCGAGCTCAGGGTTGAACTGTGTGATCCTTGGTGCTCTCTGAGCTAGATGGAGTTTTTTTTTTCAGACGTCTCATGATCCAACTAGGTAACATCATCAGTGCTAGAAGAGAGTGGGAGTTGCTCTCTCTTTATATCCTTGCTGTCAGGATTGGTGAGAGTGTGGTTTTCCTCTCTGGTAGTTTCTCGATTAGGGTGTTGTTCTTAGTTTATTTGTCAGGGGTTAATCCCTGCTTATCTGTGTATTGATTGATGATGTTTTAGTCCTTTGGTTTCCTTTTTTAGCTTTTTGATTCTGAATGACATATAAATAAATATCAACCGTGAGCCAACCTCACATCCTTCTAGCGCTGATGATGTTCCCCAGTTGAGTCATGAAACGTCCGCAAAAAAAACCCAGCCAAGACTGGAGAACACCAAAGATGCCACAATGCAATTTATTCCTGTGCTTTAACTCTTTCCTGCAGCCCAGTATACTTTTTCAACCCTTAGGCTGTGCTTCCCTCTTCAGCCTTAAACAGCCACAAACGCAAGACACTTTCCTGTGGTTATTCCAGCTGCCAGGTTGGATTTGGCACATCCCAAAGCAACACAACAACAACAACAAAATAACAACCCATGAACCAAACAGCTTTTGCTATTCAGCTTTGGCTAAGAACGTAGCATTTTTCTCACTGTCAGTAAAATCAGTGTATTGCAATGTCCCATCTCCAAGGAAAGTAATTACAAATCAAAGTCGTGTTTTCAATCTGTGCAACTTTAAGACGGGTGGACTTCAATTCCCAGAATGCCCCAGCCAGCACAGAATTCTGGGAGTTAAAAGTTCACACATCTGAAAGAGGCCCAGGTTGAAAAACACTGTTGCAGACCCATACTACCTTTATTATAAAGTTATAATAACAAAATCTGAACATTCTTCCACCTCCCTAACTTGCATATGTTACAGTCCTACCCTGGACTCTGGCTTCCTTTATCTTCCTCCTATCCCTCAAGGCCATTTCATCTATCCTCTGGAGTTAGGGAAAATCCACTACCATATCATGAACCTTTCGAAGTTCCTCATCCTCAGGATCTCACAACTCAAGGTGGACTGCCCCCTATGCACGGAGGCTCAAGGTTGATTGTCTCTATGGATGGAGGCAGAGTTATGGAAGTTCCACCACCAAACCATGAAACCTTCCTCGTCCTCAGCTCTCACAATCCAAGGTTGACTGCCCCTGTGCATGGAGGCTCTTAAGAAAACTATCTAGGACGCTTGTGCGCCGGAAACCAGAAGACCGGGTAGCCTGTGCACAGGCATGCACCAGAAACTGGAAGAGCATCATCTGCGCATGGGAGTGCCAGAAACAAGAAGAACATCTTCCCGGTGCGCATGCACATGCTGGGAAGATAATCTTCCAGTTTCAGGTGTGCACATGTGCCCTAGTCACCTGGTCTTCCTGTTTCTAAAATGCATGCATGCGCAAACACAGGTGGCTGGTGCGCATAGATGCACCAGAAACCCAAAGATCATTTTCCTAGCATGCGCATGCGCACTGGACGGCTGCTTTTCTGGTTTCCAACAGTCCCGCGCATGTGAAGGGCAGCTGGCTGGTGTGCTGGAACCCAGAAGAGCAACGGGCGATGGCGTGGCGTGGCCAGAGAGATGGCTCTGTATGTCACTTCCGGCATGCGTGCCATATGTTTGTCATCACGGATCTAGGCAATAGCCCTAATAGGTCAGAGCAACATTGCAAATTCTTCCTCTTTTTTTCTTTTGCTACTGGTCCTCAAGATTTGGTCTTTGGACCATCCAAATTAGGGTAGGGTTAATTTTCTGCTATTTAGCTAAAAATGAATTCTCCATCTTCAGAGAGAGTCTACGAGAGGATTCCAAGGGGATCAGGAAAAATTGGCCTCCTTAAAAAAAAAAAAACTTGCTTTGTTCTGATTCTGTACGTCTCTTATATTTCCAGGAGAGATTTCTCTCCTCCCCTCCTCCTGTATTTTTTTTTCCACACCAGAAAACACTACTGCAATTTCATTAAAAAAATAAAAAAATAAATCCCACTTCTTGTGTCCTGCACTGAGGAGCTATGTCAAATTAACACTTGTCATCTCGGTGGAATGTGGGAAAGAGTTATTCTTAGATCCCTACACCAAAAAACAAAACAAAAGACAGATATGTCTACCCCCCCCCCCAATTCAAGCCTGTGAAAAACCAGCATTTTAAACCTGCAGGGCCATAAATTGCAAAAATAAACCCAGCATTTAAGAAGTCTTCTACCCCTTTTCAGAGGTGCCCCAGTCCATCCAGCCAAGAGAAAAGAGAACATTCCAGAAGGAACCATATATATTCCCCCCCTATGTGTGTCTGTGTCTGTGTGTGTGTCTGTGTGTGTGTCTATGTATATGCATGTATGTGTCTATGATGTGTGTGTGCATACATACATATACACACCGTATTTTTGGAGTATAAGACACAGCAAGGTTTTGAAGAGGAAATTTTTAAATTAAATTTGCACTCGGCAAACCTCTCAAAAATGGCCCGTTTTTCACAAAAATGGGCCCATTTCCCCCCCAAAAAAATCAGGGCGTGGTTTTGGGAGGCAAAAAATGCTGTATTCAGTGTATAAAACGCACCCAGCTTTTCAGCCTCTTTTTTGAGGGAAAAGGGTGCGTCTTATACTCCAAAAAAATACGGTGTGTATATATATATATATATATATGTCTGTCTGTCTGTCTATCTGTGTATAAAGAGTGGGATATATATATATACACACACACCACTCTTTCTCTCCCCCCCCCCCCTCTATCAATGTGTCTGTCTGTCTATCTATCGGGTGATATATACATATGCTGGACAATAAGTCAGAATTCAGAGGGAAGGAAGGAAACAAAAAAAAAGGGAAGGCACAGAAAACAGAAGAGAGGCACAGAAGGCAGGAAATGACATTTTCCAACAGTGAACAAGGTAACACAATTCTGCATTGGGGAAAGAAACAACGACAACGACAGGCCACGCAACTACATGTTACAATAACTGGTTATAATCGAGGAGAAAAATACTTCTTTTTTTTTTTTTTAAAGGAAGGGGGCAATTGTGCTCTCCAGCACAAAGCAAGGGGATCTTACCTCGGATTGGAGTACCTTCTGTAAGTAAAAGGAACACAAAACAAAGAAACAGAAAAAAAAAAAAGAACAACAAACACAGAAGTGAAAAGCCAAGTGGGGGGAAAAACGGGATTTTTCTTTTCTTTTTCTTTCAGGATTAGCCAGTGGGAGGAAGGCATCCAGGAGAAAAATGGGTGTGAGTTTCTAAGGCTGCTTCTCCAGGGCACGATTTGGGGTGGTGGGACACACACAGAGGTAGTCCTTGACTTACGACCGTCCGTTCAGCGACCATTCAAAGTTACCATGGCGCTGGAAAAAAAAGGCGACTTGCAACCGGTCCTCGCACTTACGACCGCTGCTGCATCCCCATGGTCACCCGATCAACATTTGGGCCCCTGACAAACCGGCGTGTGTTTATGACGGCTGTCGCATCCTGGGGTCACGTGATTCACCATTTGCGACCGTCCTAGCCAGATTCCCACGAACAACGTCAAGGTGTGGGGTGGGGGTGGAAGCTGGATTCGCTTAACGGCTGCGGGATTCACTTCCACCATGGCAGCGATTCGCTTAACAACTGTGGCAAGGAAGGTCGTAATAGTTAGATGCCGGTCCCTTAATAACCGCCTTGCTGAACGACGGAAATTCTGCTCTCCGTTGTGGCCATATGTCAAGGACTAGCTGCAATTCTGTTTTTGGTACTTATGTTCCTTTTGGTTAAGGGGGGAATAAAGACGGGTGGAGGGGCTGCTATTATTCGAGTAAAATCTCCGAAGAACCCAAGTTTTAGAAAACAAAATTTAATAATTTACAGAATAAAATGTAATAATTTAGAGAACAAAATGTAATAATTGTTGTTCCGTACCTACCCCGGTTATTGCAAATAATAATAATAATAGTAATTCAGATAAGATCAAGGCCTGTTTTGACCCAGATCTTGAATCAGGCTCATGAGGACTAGAAACTTAAGTGGATCCATTTTGAAAAAAAAAATGCCTTCACTTCTGCAAGTGTGCAGGGGAAAAATTAGGAGATTTTAGAGGAACAGAAGGAGAGCATAATTTCCATATTTATTTATTTTTTTGTTACCCAGGAAACCTGCAGAAAAAATATTTGACAATTAGCAGAAACCCAGAAGGAGGTTTGTCCTCGGGGTTACTAAGAGAATCACGTTTTTTTTGGGGGGGGGGGAGGGAGGAATCTGACTTATTTTAAAAAGCTGAGACTAAGTAGCATTGCCTAGCTTGAAAAATGCCTTCAAGCAGTTTCTTGGCGAAGGCAGGCCCTCTGCACATGAACAGAAGNAACCTCTCAAAAATGGCCCGTTTTTCACAAAAATGGGCCCATTTCCCCCCCAAAAAAATCAGGGCGTGGTTTTGGGAGGCAAAAAATGCTGTATTCAGTGTATAAGACGCACCCAGCTTTTCAGCCTCTTTTTTGAGGGAAAAGGGTGCGTCTTATACTCCAAAAAAATACGGTGTGTATATATATATATATATATATGTCTGTCTGTCTGTCTATCTGTGTATAAAGAGTGGGATATATATATATACACACACACCACTCTTTCTCTCCCCCCCCCCCCTCTATCAATGTGTCTGTCTGTCTATCTATCGGGTGATATATACATATGCTGGACAATAAGTCAGAATTCAGAGGGAAGGAAGGAAACAAAAAAAAAGGGAAGGCACAGAAAACAGAAGAGAGGCACAGAAGGCAGGAAATGACATTTTCCAACAGTGAACAAGGTAACACAATTCTGCATTGGGGAAAGAAACAACGACAACGACAGGCCACGCAACTACATGTTACAATAACTGGTTATAATCGAGGAGAAAAATACTTCTTTTTTTTTTTTTTAAAGGAAGGGGGCAATTGTGCTCTCCAGCACAAAGCAAGGGGATCTTACCTCGGATTGGAGTACCTTCTGTAAGTAAAAGGAACACAAAACAAAGAAACAGAAAAAAAAAAAAGAACAACAAACACAGAAGTGAAAAGCCAAGTGGGGGGAAAAACGGGATTTTTCTTTTCTTTTTCTTTCAGGATTAGCCAGTGGGAGGAAGGCATCCAGGAGAAAAATGGGTGTGAGTTTCTAAGGCTGCTTCTCCAGGGCACGATTTGGGGTGGTGGGACACACACAGAGGTAGTCCTTGACTTACGACCGTCCGTTCAGCGACCATTCAAAGTTACCATGGCGCTGGAAAAAAAAGGCGACTTGCAACCGGTCCTCGCACTTACGACCGCTGCTGCATCCCCATGGTCACCCGATCAACATTTGGGCCCCTGACAAACCGGCGTGTGTTTATGACGGCTGTCGCATCCTGGGGTCACGTGATTCACCATTTGCGACCGTCCTAGCCAGATTCCCACGAACAACGTCAAGGTGTGGGGTGGGGGTGGAAGCTGGATTCGCTTAACGGCTGCGGGATTCACTTCCACCATGGCAGCGATTCGCTTAACAACTGTGGCAAGGAAGGTCGTAATAGTTAGATGCCGGTCCCTTAATAACCGCCTTGCTGAACGACGGAAATTCTGCTCTCCGTTGTGGCCATATGTCAAGGACTAGCTGCAATTCTGTTTTTGGTACTTATGTTCCTTTTGGTTAAGGGGGGAATAAAGACGGGTGGAGGGGCTGCTATTATTCGAGTAAAATCTCCGAAGAACCCAAGTTTTAGAAAACAAAATTTAATAATTTACAGAATAAAATGTAATAATTTAGAGAACAAAATGTAATAATTGTTGTTCCGTACCTACCCCGGTTATTGCAAATAATAATAATAATAGTAATTCAGATAAGATCAAGGCCTGTTTTGACCCAGATCTTGAATCAGGCTCATGAGGACTAGAAACTTAAGTGGATCCATTTTGAAAAAAAAAATGCCTTCACTTCTGCAAGTGTGCAGGGGAAAAATTAGGAGATTTTAGAGGAACAGAAGGAGAGCATAATTTCCATATTTATTTATTTTTTTGTTACCCAGGAAACCTGCAGAAAAAATATTTGACAATTAGCAGAAACCCAGAAGGAGGTTTGTCCTCGGGGTTACTAAGAGAATCACGTTTTTTTTTGGGGGGGGGGAGGGAGGAATCTGACTTATTTTAAAAAGCTGAGACTAAGTAGCATTGCCTAGCTTGAAAAATGCCTTCAAGCAGTTTCTTGGCGAAGGCAGGCCCTCTGCACATGAACAGAAGCCCTATTTTTTTTCCCCCTAGCCTGGCCCAAGAATGTACTGTGGTTCAAGCCCTCCACTCTGTGGGAAATAAATTTTGTCAGCCTGGGTAACATCACCATTGTCCTTTCTCCCACTGGCTCTTTCAAGGTTTATTTCTCAAGTCAAGAAGCACATTTTGTAAAATTCTCAAAAAGGGTTTGTTTTTGTTTTTTAAAACCCCAATCCTGAAAACAAAGCAAAGGATTTCATGGATATTTTTCTGGATCCAGGTTCCCTGAGCATCACAGACGCTGTCTTAATAATTCTTGGTGGCCCATGCAAATATTTTTAAATGTCCCTATTGGTGTGACTTGCCGGAAGTTATGAATAATATCTGCAGGAGAAGCAAGGATAATACCAATTCATTTTTCCTCCAGCCTTTTGTCCCCCTGCAGAAACACCAATGATTCGGTTTTTTTGCTTTTTCATTTTCTTTTTTTTCTTTCTTTCTTTCCCCCTCCTTCCATGCTACCCCAAATGCACCATTTTCAGGATCTGGGATAAAAACAATGTGGTTATTATTTCTGATTAGTTAACATCCGTGGAGTGGGAAAGGGAGTGGTTAGGTGGTTATAGCTGGTGGTTAAGGATCTAGTTAGATTCAGTTACTAATTAAGGAAAAGGTTAAAACACATTGTCTATTCTAAAGGAAGGAGTTAGCATCTAGTTAAAACTACCGGTTAAGGTTAATCAAAGCAGAGAGCTTGTTAGCTTGTGGGAGGAAGGAGAGTAGGCGAGGAAGAGGAGGGGGAATAATGTTAATTTGGACCAGCTACTGTGAAAGAGCAGCTGGGGTGGGGATGAGGGGGGGTTTAAAGAGCAAGGAAACGAGAGAGTGAGATAAAGTAAAGTTTATTGGGAGAAACAGAATACCCTCAAACAGAGAAAGAAAAGGAAGGAAGGAAGGAAGGAAGGAAGGAAGGAAGGAAGGAAGTAAGGAGGGCAGGTGGGAGGAAGGAATGAAGAAAGGAAACTAGGAGGGGGCGAGGAAGGAAAGAAAAGAAAGAAGAGGGAAATAAAGGAAGGAAGGAAAGAAGGAAGAAAGGAAGAAAGGAAAAGGATAGGGAGAATGGGAGGGAATGAAGAAAGGAGGCAAGCAGGCAGGGAAGGAGGGAGGAAATGGAAGGAAGGAGGGAGGGAGGGCAGGTAGGAGGAAGGAATGAAGAAAGGAAACTAAGAGGGAGTGAGGAAGGAAGGAAGGAAGGAAGGAAAAGGAGGAAAGAAAGAAAGAAGAGGGAAATAAAGGACGGAATGAAAGAAGGAAGAAAAGAAGGAAGGAAGGAAGGAGAGGGAGGATGGGCGGGAAGGAGAAAAAGAAAGAAAGGAAGAAAAGGAAAGAGGGAGGCAGGGAGGGAGGAAGGAAATGGAAGGAAAGAGGGAGGGCGGGAGGGAGGAAGAAAGTAAACTTAGAGGGTGTGAGGAAGGAAGGAAAAGGAAAGAAGGAAAGGATGAAGACAGGGAAATGAAGGAAGGCAAGAAGGGAGGTAGAGAGAGGGGGAGAAAGGGAGACAGACAGACAGACAGACAGACAGACAGAAAGAAAGAAAGAAAGAAAGAAAGAAAGAAAGAAAGAAAGAAAGAAAGAAAGAAAGAAAGATTCAGAGTGGAAAAAATATCTGCCATCTGTGACTCAAATTTGGAATGGTTTAGGAAAACGGTGTTGACCAGAGTGAGGAATGGATACAAGCCGTTCCAAGACAAGCTGCCTTTTGCAATTGACTGATGGGGAATTTGTCAATGCCGGTAGTGTTCCAGTAATGCTCCAGATGTTTTGGGATCACATCCAAGGCGCCTATCACTCTTGGGACTGTCTTTGCTTGGTTAATACTTGATTATTAAGCTACCTTGACAAGGGTAACCAGGAGGGGACGGGGGCGGCATTGGGACAACAAGGCACAGATGGCAGATTTCCTGTTGGAGTTTCATATCTAAAGAGCTGAAAGAGGTTTAGGTTTCTTTTTTTTCCCCCCAAAGTGGAGTGTAAAAAAAAGCCGGTATAAAACACTGATCCCCCCCCACTTTCAAATGTGACTCTTAAAAGGGGCTTGGCCGAAAATATCAAGCAAGACCAGAGCAGACTTCTGAAGCAAGGGATAAAAAGTAGGACTGAAACAGACCGGATCTTGGCCCAGATAAAAAATAAGAGGGGCTTTCACAGAGAGGAGGGGGGGGGGGGTCCAGCTATTTCCCAAGGCACTCAAAGGTTGAACAAGGAATAATGGATGGAAACTGATCCAGGAGAGATATTCAACCTGGAAATAAGGAGGAATTTCCTGACAGTGAGAACAATCTACCCATGGAAGAGATATTGCCTTCGGAGGCTGTGGGAGCTTCATCCCTGGAGGCTTCCGAGGAGAGATTGGACTGTCAGAAATGGTGTAGGATTGTGATGGCGAACCT